TGCTCAATTCAAAGCAAAGATTTGGAGTTCATTACATGAACTATAAACGCGCGATAAATGAACAATTCTTCACAAGATTCTTTCAAATATTTAGCTCAATTCAAAGGAAAGATTTGAATTCGATTGCATCGATTATGAACACACGACAAGTGAATAATTGTCGGACAGATTCTTTCAAATATTTTGCTCAATTCGAACGAAAGATTTGAAGTTGAGTACATCACATAAAAAAAGACGGGAAACGAATAATTCTTTCGAACATTCTTTCAAGTGTTTTGCTCAATTCAAAGCAACGATTTGGACTTAATTACATTAACTATGAGCACAAGACAAATGAATAATTCCTTTACAGATTCTTTCAAATATTTTGCTCAATTGACAGCAACGATTTGTAGTTAATCACAGTAGCTATGAACACAGGACAGCTGAATAATTCACAACAAAGGTTCTTGCAAACACTTTCCCGAATTCAAAGCAAAGATTTGAAGTTGACCACATCAACTGTTAACAGACGAGAAACGAATGATTCATTGCAACATTCGTTCAAATATTTTGTTCAATTGAAAGCAACGAGTTGGAGTTAGTTACATTAACTATGAACACACGACAAATGTACAATTCCTTCACAGATTGTTTCAAATATTTTGCTTAATTCAAGGAAAATTTGTGAAGTTGATTACAGGAACTATGAACACACTATAAATGAATAATTCGCAACAAAGATTCGTTCAAACATTTTCCCCATTTGAAAGGAAAGATCTTAAGTTGATGACATGAAGTATGAACACGCGGGAAATGAATAATTCTCCACAAGCTTCTTTCAAATATTCTGCTCTATTCAAAGGAAAGATTTGGTGTTGATTACATCAACTGTGAACACACGACGAACAAATAATTCCTTTGAAGATTCTTTCAAATATGTTCCCCAATTCAAAGCGAAGACTTGCAGTCGATTACATCAACTATGAAGACACCCGACAAATGAATATTTCTTTCGAAGATCCTTTCAACTATTTCCCCCAGGTTAATGCAAAGATTTCAAGTTTATTATATGAACTATGAACACACAACAAATGAATAATTCTTCCAAACATTCTTTCAAATATTTAGGTCAATTCAAGGCAAAGGCTTGGAGACGATTACATGAACGTGAAACAGACGACAAATGAATAATTCCTTCACAGATTCTTTCAAATATTTTCCTCAGTTTAAAGCAAAGATTTCAAGTTGATTATATGAACTATGAATGCACGACAAATTGAATAATTCTCAGCAAAGAGTCTTTCAAATGTTTTGCTCGGTTCAAAGCAAAGAGTTGGGGTTGATAACATAAACTATGAACACACGATAAATGAATTATTCTCAATAAAGATGCTTTCAAAGATTTTGCTCAATCGAATACTTAGATTTCGAGTTGATTACATCAACTACGAACACACGACAAATGAATAATTCTCCAGAGGATTCTTTCCAATATTTTCCTGAATTCAAAGGAAAGATTTGGAATTGGTTACATGAACTAGGAATACGGAAGGAATGAATAATTCTTTTTAAGATTGTTTCAACTATTTTCCCCAATTGAAAGGAGAAACTTGAAGTTGATGTAGTCAACTGTGAACGCACGAGAAATGACTAATTCTTGCAAAGATTCTTCCACATATTTGCGCAATTCAAAGAAAAGGTTTCTCGTTGAGTACATCAACAATCAACACACGATAACTGAATAATTCTCCAAAAGATTCTTTCAAATATTTTTGCTGAATTGAAAGGAAAGATTTGGAGTTAATTATATCATCTATGAACAGAAGAGAAACGAATAATTCTTTCAAAGATTCTTTCAAATATTGCGCTCACTTGAAAGCAAAGATTTGAAGTTGATTACATCAACTCTCAAAACACCACAAATCAAGAATTCATGCAAAGATTCTTTGAAATATTTTGCTGAATTGAAAGCAAAGACTTGAAGTTGATTACATGAACTTTGAACATAAAAGAAATGAATAATACTTCCAAAGATTTTTTTAAACATTTCGCTCGATTCGAAGGAAAGATTTGGATTTGATTAGATGAATCGTGAACGCACGAGAAATGAATAATTCTCAAGAAAGATTCTTTGAAATATTGTCCTCAATTCAAAGGAAAGATTTGAAGTTGAATACATCAACAATGAACGCAGAACAAACGAGTAAGTCTTCAGAAGTTTCTTTCAAATATTTTACTGAATTCAAAGAGAAGATTTCGAGTTAATTATATCAACTATGAACACACGGCAAATGAATAATTCTTCCAAAGATTCTTTCACATATTTTTCTGAATTCAAAGCGAAGATTTCGAGTTAATTATATCAACTATGAACACACGGCAAATGAATAATTCTTCCAAAGATTCTTTCAAAGATTTTGCTCAATTCAAGGCAAAGATTTGAAGTTGATTACATGATGTATGAACACGCGACAAATGAATAATTGCCAAAAAAGATTGTTTCAAATATTTTGCTCAATTCGAAGCAAAAGCTTGAAGTTGATTGCATCAACTATAAACACCGGACAAATGAATAATTCTTCTAAAGATTCTTTCAACTGTTTTCCACAGTTTAAAGCAAAGATGTCTAGTTGATTACATGACCTATGAGCACACGACAAATGAATAATTCTTCCAAAGATTTTTTCAAATATTTTGCTCCATTCAAAGCAAAGACTTGGAGTTGATTACATCAGTTATGGACACACGAGAAATGAATAATTCTCAACAAAGATTCGTTTGAATATTTTGCTCAATTCGAAGCAACGATTTGAAGTTGATTACATGATGTATGAACACACGAGAAATGAATAATTCTGTAAAAGATTGGTTCAAATATTTGGCTCATTTCAAAGCAAAGACTTGAAGTTGATTACATCAACTATCAACATACGACAAATGAATAATTTTCCACGATATTGTTTCAAATGTTGTGCTCAATTGGATCAAAGATTTGGAATTGATTACATTAACTATGAACACAGAAGAAATGAATAATTCTTTCAAAGATTGTTTGATGTATTTTGCTCAATTCTAACGAAAGATTTGAAGTTGATCACATAAACTATGAACTCACGACCAATGAATAATTCTTTCAAAGATTCTTTGAAATATTTTGCTGAATTCAAAGCAAAGATTTTGAGATGATTACAGGAACTGTGAATGCGCGACAAATGAATAATTTTTCACAAGATTCTTTCAAATATTTTGCTCAATGAAAGAAAGATTTGAACTTGGTTAGGTTATGTATGAAGACACGATAAATGAATAATTCTTCGAAAGTTTGTTTGAAATATTTTGCTCAATTGAAAGGAAAGTTTTGAAGTTGATTGCATCAAGTATGAACACACGACAAGTGAATAATTCTCGGACAGATTCTTTCAAATATTTTACTGATTTCAAAGCATAGAGTTGGAATTGATTACATGATCGAGAGAGACACGACGAATTAATTTCCTTCTCGTTGGTGGAACAGTCCACGGAGGAGAGCACGAATAACCATATCATCAATTGGGGCTGCGTGTATTAAGCAGCTTGTCATCACCATTGCCAAAATGGAGACTAAACAAGCCATTCGAATGGTCTTCTGCATTGTCATTTGTTCCTGTTCGACGCTGATGAGAGAATAGTAGATAAATATGAGCAAGTATGTAAATGGTATGCTCTTGCAGTATTGGTTCGGCTTTATAATCGGAATATTGAGAGGGAATGAGATGAATATCGATACACGCGTGCTTTTATATCTAACTGGCAATGAGTAGAAATTTCCCACTTATCGATGGGGATTCCCCACCTATTGATAAGAATGCACACACTTATCGGTCCAAATTCTGCGCTTTTCGGTAGGAATTCCCCACCTATCGATAAGAATTCCCCAACTATCTATAAGAGTTTCCCACGTATTGATGGGAATTTTCAACTTGTCGATGGGAATTTTCGACCTGCTGATGGGAATTTTCGATCTGTTGATGGGAATTTTTGACCTGTTGATGGGAATTTTCGACCTGCTGATGGGAATTTTCGACCTGCTGATGGGAATTTTCGATCTGTTGATGGGAATTTCCCATCTATCTATTATGTTCTCCTTTTGTTAGAATAAATTTAAGGGCAAATGTGAGGTCGCTAAGGACAAACATAACTTTTATTTCAAAAAAGATGATCTGACTAGTCAAGTGTTTATCACATATATATATATAAGCATCACCAGGCATAACAAGAAAAAAAGAATGACAATATAGATGTCGGATATAACACCCTACTCGGACAAGGAAAAAAAGTTTTTGTTTACAAAACACTTTTTTTAAAACATAATAACATAACTGTAAATGCATCAAATGAAAGAGAAAAAGAAAAAAAACAGTAGGAACAAATGTTCATATAATATCATGAAGGAAATATAAAACATAAAGAAAAAAAAATACACTATAGAGAAAAAATCTGATAATAGTAAAAAAATACAACAATAGAAAGAGAAAAAAATATATGTTTACCATTGTTGTTTACTCTTGTATATCATTTGATCTTCTTGATAAATATTGAGCTCGACGACGAAACAAATAATAATGACGTCGATCAAATATATCACCGGGTAATCTTCGATCATTTCGTGATTCAATTATTTTGTCTTTTACACCAATAAGTAATAAATCATCAACCGGTTTGACATGAGTATAATAAATACTGTATTCAGTAAGAATATGTCGAACTAATTTCATTGTAAATCTGTAGTAGAATGGACGAGTGATAAAATATCTATAACGTTGTATTCGGAAATAAAGATTTCTTTTTCGATTTCGTCGTTTTCGAGCTTCAGCTGATCGTGTTCGACTATTTAATTGACGTTTCTTAGTTAAAGATTGTTGTCGTTGTTCATAATCACTGACATCATCAACCATATCATGGCTGTTGACA